CTGCCCTGGCGAGAGAGCGAGAGAGAGAGCGAGCGAGCGAACTAGAGAGATAGAGAGAAACAGCTGATCAGCGACCAGCTGAACCTCCAGGCCGTGACAATATATCTTAAAAATGCACAGCATGTTTGCAAGAGTTGTAGTTTCTAAGCCTTCTGTCAATTATCAGCCAATCATTAAGTTGATCTTGACGACCTTCATGGATGTAACTCAAATTTGAACAGATTGTTAACATGACCCCACTCTACACCCCTACAAAGTTTTATCAGAATTAATTCAAAACTTTTCACACTATTGTGTCTAAAGATAGAAGTAATTACACACATGTGCATACACACAAATACTGCCAAGATCAAAAACCAAAAAAATGCACCCTGTTGGACCCTAACTCCTCTATTCATTCATTCATTCATTCAGTCATCTATTTCCTCTGCTTCCATAAAAAACTTTAGTTGTAGAAGTGGTGGATCGACCAACTCACTAACATTTTATTTTGGATGCAGGCATTTGAATGTTAGAGACAATAACAGGCAGAAGTGGATTCTGGTAATGAGATGGCTGTTTATGTAGTTGTTATTTTTTGTGTTGATTATTATTTTAGTTAACACCTTTCTAATGAACAGCTGTTCTCTATTTGCTGGGTGTGTGTATCACTCAGTTCTTCTATATAGAGCTAGACTGGCTGCAGAAGAAGAATCTGGCATACGGGTCAGTGATTCTGACTGACATGTTGTAGCTGCTTGTATTATTCTGCTTGTTTATCATGTTTTTATTGTCTTTTATAATTAACAACAGCTTCATGATCACAAACAGGTAGACAGGTATATTTGCCTGGCTGTTCTTTTCCATCTTTAATGAGCCAGAGATGGCTGCTATAATCATCTGTGTTGTTCATTAGAAAAACTCACACTTTTCTAATGAACAGCTGCGCTATGACTGAGAGTGCTAGCCAGCACACACCCACGTGTATTTTTATTCTTATTCCTCCGTTTATACAATTCATTCCAAACAAACAGAGATATTCCATGAAACTGGGTCTTCTTCCTATCGTTCTGTAAACCATGACTCACATAAAACTTAACATATCTAGAATATCATCTATGTCACAACCCTCCAGACTTAATTTCTCTCATTGTCTTGACGTTTATTACATTTAGTTGCCTTTCTTGCTGAAATACAGTGCATTTTACAAGACAGTAGACAGTTAAATAAGAACAAGTTTGAAATAAATCCCATATAGTTATAGCTGGTAATGCTTTAATGAGAAACCTGAATAACACTGAGCTGATTTATTTTTTAGTAAAAAAAAATGATTTGTGACAGCCTGGGAAACAAATAAAATATTTCTGTCTAAAACATCTACTGGAAGCTGGATATTTATGTGTGGCAAAGATTAAGATGTTTTTGAGAATCCTGCTGTCGCTGCTGTATCACTGACTAATGGAATTATTTAATTCCAACAGTACCCACATGCTGACTATGTATGTGGCAGTATGGCATTTTTAAAAAATATACAAATCAACTTTTTTTTAAATGCAAAATATTGTTTCCATGTTAAAGAAATTCTTAAACTTTAAAATTTCTCCCAAATGTTGTTACACTTCGGGATCTAAAGAAGATTGCGGCAGTGAGGATGGCTGCTGTTGCTCGGCATCCACCTCAATTTTGCATGTTTTGTGTGTTTTTAACACTATTTTCTAGGTTTTTTTGTAACATGCAGTGCACTGATAATCTATGACAGACAAACTCTTTTTAGACATTTGACAGCATTCACAATCTGGGACCACACCAACATACTTTTTAATGAATGGAGGTGCCTTACCTTACCAGAGTGGAAACTACCCTGGAGGAAAAGGGGAAAAGAGCCAGAGAATGACAACACCATTCCCCAATTACCAGCATTCTTCTTGCTAACGTCCAAACTTTGGAAAACAAACTGGATGAACTGTGGGCCAGGGTGACTTTGCACTGGGATTGTTAAAGACTGTAATTTCTTTATTTTTACGGAGACGTGGCTTGATTCCTCAGTTCCTGACTCAGCTATTGTCCTTGTGGGTCTTTCCATTAACCACCAGGACTGGACAAAGGTCTCTGGTAAGTGCAGGGGAGGTGGTGTATGCATAATGACTAAGAAGTGGTGGTGTGTGGATGTACAAACAGTTTTATCAGGGTGCTCTCCTAATCTTGAACACCTCATGATCAGATGCAGACCATTTTATCTGCCTAGAGAGTTTAAAACTGTGTTCTGTTCCACTGTTTATATTCCCCTCCATGGCAAAGCCATGAAGGCACTGAATGAGCTGTATGATGTTTTCGACTGGCAGGAAGCACGACGCCCACTTACAGAACAGAGATGAGAGACTTGACATCACGGTGTCTGGATGTCAGAAAGACCAAAGAGCTCCCTGTGGACTACAGGAGACTGCAGGGCATACTCCCATTTACATGGAGGGGACAGAGGTGGAGAGAGTCAGATACTTCAGGTTGCTGGTTATTAACATAAGTGAGGATCTGAGCTGCCGACATCACAAATGTGATCACAAAAGCAACGAGACAGCGGTTCTTCCTTCTGTGGCAGCTAAGGAGGTTGGCATGGACCGCAGAATACTCGCCAACTTCTGTTAATGCACCATCAAGAGTATTCCTTCTGACTACATCATGACCTGGTAGGAAGTTGTAATGCTCTGGACCACAAAGCTCTATGGAGGGTGGTCAAATCAGCACAACGAATCACCAGGTCTGAACTGCCAGCCATCCAGACCTTTACAAACAGCGCTGTAGGAGGAAGGCCCAGAGGACCCTGTCTGATCCCAGCCACCCCAGCCATACACTCTTCAGGGACAGTTTCTACCCACAAACCATCAACCAACTGAGCTGCTGAAATATCGAGGAGGATATATTTCCTTTATTTATATAGTTTATCTTATTTTTATTTAGTGTTACTTATGTGCAGTTTTACTCTTCTCTGTACAATATTGAGGGGCCTAAGAATTTCATTGCTGGTATTGTTACCTGTATATGGGAGGGATAGCACTATGTTAGAGGAGAGCAGAGTTAATTCCAAGCTTCCAGAGATCCATGAATGTTGTAGATATGAGGATTGTGTACTTGTGAGTTGAGGAGGGAAAATTTCAGGAGGAGGCAGCTAGGCAAGCTTTGTGGGTGTTTGGGCCAGAAAAACCAACCACTTCTGTTACTGAGTCCAGAGAGCAAAGGACTCCAGGATAGGGTAGGTGATAGGTGAGTATCCGAGTCCAGATACAGGCCATATATGGCCTGTATCTGGACTCGGGTGACTTTGCAGATGAGTAGTGCATTATTATAGTGCATTGAAATGCACTATAATAATGCACTACTCATCTTTTTGTGTATAAAATGTGTTATATGATAGGTGGGAATATAAAAAATTGTTCTATTTTGAACAGCTTCATCTGACTAATATTATACACAGCCTGCTTATACATGTTAGAATATTTTTCATTTTTCCATAATAACAAAGTCTCATACAAAAACTTCCACTAAGAGCAGAATTTTATCAACACCTTTGACCAAAGTGTGACCAAAAGGTTCACAAAGACACGACGCATTTCAGGACAGCTGGATGACACTACAGGAGGCTGTACAGACCTTGGTATTTAATAAAGTGACGATGGCAGCCACAGTTTGACAATGAATACTTTGTCACTTCACTAATTGAGCCTTAATTCACCCAAAATGACGACATAATTAACTGTACAACAATGTCATTCACCCAGGATCTCTCCTCTTCACCCATTCCCTCTGTGGTCTCGTTAAGAGCCACGACTGAGCGACAGACAGGAAATCAGATCATAAAGGTGTCATCATGTCACCTCATCACTTCTGTTCCCATTTCAATTAACAGATCACTTCTGGTTTGTATTTTCAGGACAGATTTCCCAGCATGTGGTCCTGCGCTGCTCTTTGCTGGATGATTGCTCAGACATTTGGCAATGGAATTCAACACTTTATATTGGTTGTTGCGATACTTTAAAGTAAAATATCTTATCTATTTGCACCACAGTTTGAAACAATCACTAACACTTGTTTCACTTCCATGATATTTTCAGAGTTCAACTATTCAACAACTTTCTCTATTTACATAGCAACCATATTGTCCTTATTTTGCCCCTAATCATGTTCTGCAATAATTACTGTTGTTCTCTGGATAAAGGAAATTAGCTGTTGTTCACACTTGTTTTCCCAAGAAAATTCTCCAAATGCTCCAAGTTAATCAGAATTTGGTTGGTATCCTCATCCTATGGTAGCTGGGATGGTTTCCAGATTATCTATCTACTTCACAATATAATATAATAAAAAAAGTCTTTCTATACACATCAGTGTCAAATCATACACTATGGTATTAGTTTTTTTTACCTGAGCCTTTTCCCTTTTGTTGACATATCTGTAGACAAAGACGTGTTTGACACTCTCTCACACTGCCTACAGGATTGTGTTGTACAGGGGACTGACAAATTAAAGAAATAACTAAAACGTTTTTCATCTTGTAAGTTTCAGATGTCATTGAGTAAGGGGCTTTGGCACACGATGTAGGACCCATTATTCTAAGTTTATTCATTTCAAGTTGTGCTAAATCAGGAGCGAGCGTAAATTTGTTTGTTTATTTTATCTTGTGCTTTTTGTTTTTAAAATGTTCTTCGTCGTTATTGTTCTATTAATGTAAAAATAAAATAAAATGTACATTTTATTTCCTGATAAAGTTCGTTAACCAAATACGTTGCTACAGAGAAGGATTAGAGCCACTGGGTGGGCACGTTTTTTTTTTTCATCTGGAAATGAAAAAAAGACGTGCCCACTTTTTTCCCCAGTGGCCCCAATCCTCTTCCGTATGTTTATTACATCTTGTACAAAAGTAGTTTTATTTTAATGGGTGCCACTAGCACTGTTGTGCACTAGTCTGAGTACAAAACGGTACTCGAAGTGTTCTGTATTTCATTTTCCTAGCGGAACTCAAGCAGGCGGACCATAAATACACGGGCTGTTTTTAAGGGGACTCATAACAGCGTAGAACGCTATGTTGTCTCGTGTGTTAGAGGTATGTTCAGTCCTTTAAATGTAGGTCTCTGTGAAATATAGAAAATGTGAAACCATAAGCGCCTTCGTCGACCACATTTCGTCTGTTAAACTTATCTAAGCGTTACTTTGTCGTGAAGCTCGCGTCTTTCTTGACCCCGGCACACCTCTGAGCCCGCAGGTTCACACTGAATAACTGCCTGTCATGTGTGTACCACACTGTGTTTGTGCAAGTTAACCGAGATTACCCACTGTAATTACTAATAATTTCAAACGAAGAGCTCTCGTTTTGTTGCAGTTCGTCCTGCGGCAGTGTGGAATAACTGTAACCCGTTCAAAGGTTGCGGTTTGATTTGACATTTCTAAGTGAGCACATTTTACTGAGCTGACTGCTAAAGGTCCTAAAAACAGTTCACATATTTGCAAAAGACTCTCCTTATGATGGTGAATGCAATTGTCTGATGTCAGCATCGCACTTACGCAAGAATGAACCAAACAATAGAGAAGGATCTGTATGCTGTCCTGGGAGCAAACCCCTCAGACTCGGTTCAGCAGCTCAGACACAGGTACCAGCAGCTGGCCTTACAGGTAAATCCATTCTCTATTTGTTCCATCTGTCTATAGACCCATACTACCTATATGCATGCAAAAGTCTACCCTCATGTATTTCCATTTTGTTGTCCACATTGTGTGCCTTTTCCCTCATTTCAGTCCCTGGAGCTGACCAGATTTTTATTTTTTTTTTTTGGCTTAGGCAACTTACCTGTGTATTTTTTAAGCATAAAAAGGCTCTTAACTCAGTGATGAACCAGTGTTATGTCTATACATAAACAATTTGGGAACAAATCCACTTTAGATGTTATCTTTACACACTTTGTTACTAGCAGCCAGTTCCTTTTGTTTGAAAACAGAAAGGTCGTCCTGTTTTGAGCCACCACCTCATACCATTTGGAAAGCATCTGATCATTGCATTGTCATCATGATAAGATTGTATTAAATGTGGCGTTTGTATTCATTCTCACCACTGCATTTACACCTGATAAGTAATGCAGTGGAAGCATATGCAGTTTTTTTCTAATGACATATCTTAAGAGGAGGTGGATAAGGGATCAGCCCCAGCACATGTGGAACTCCATGACTGTCATTTGTGCATGGAAGGATTTTGTTTGCATGAAGAGAAGCTAGCAATAAAATGCTGTCATCAGTTTTGTTAAATGGCGCACAGATATTTAGCTGGAGGATAGCTATTAGCGACAAGTGTGTAAAGCTATTAGAAAATTGTTGGCCAAGACCTTTAAGCCAACTGACCCACATTTGACTGCCTTAGGTGCCAAAAGGTGCCCAGATGAGACTGTGCTGTCTAACTAATTTCTGTGTATTTCTCTGTTACATACATTCTAATGGATGTATCTAGTATCAATAATAAGCTGTAGCTCGGGTGGTAGAGCAGACATCGACCTATCACAAGGTAGTTTGATTCGCAGCCCCTCCAGTTTGCATATAATCTTTCAACTTGCAGGAGAGATAACCCAATGCATCCATGAGAGTGTGACTGTGTGTGAATGTTAGACAAGACACTTGGGCAGGAATAAAAGTGCTTTTAGTGCTCATAGTAGAAAAGCACTGTGTAAGTGCCAATCCCTTTGTTTTTTTGGACAGCTGTCTGGGTCTTCTGAGCCCTCCAAATGTCAAATATTTGCAATAAGTTCATACATAGAAGATGAGGTGTCTGAATATACGTTTGTTTGTGTGTGCACAAATCTGCAGTACCACCCAGACCGTCTTGGAGGGGATTGTTCTTCCGAAGCAGAGTCTGGTGTGAAGAAGTTTCTAGAAGTTGACGCTGCATGGAGGGTCCTTAGTGACCAAACCACTAGGACACAATATGACTTGCAAAGAAGAGGTGGGACTTTAAATTGTGCTTCATTTACTTTATTTACTGATAAGGTTCGTGATGGTTTTCTTTGACGGGAAAAAATGTCTTGTATTACTTATGTTGATGTAGTTTTATTTTTCACTGACCAAGACTGGCACAAAAACGTGAAAATGCATATCTTCTCTTTACATCTCGTGTTGTTGTTTGATGGGAAAACACAGTTTTCCTATGTTTTTTTTGCTTTGTTTTGTTTTTTTTAAAGAAATGTAAAACTTTAATCTTGAAAATTCAGACTTTTTTCCCTGGTTTTCGCCCCAACTTTCCGAACTCAATCATCTTTTTTTAAATTTGAACCTGAATGTTCAGCATGAATGCAGTATATCAGCAAAATGCTACAGCTCACCAGACATTATTAATAACCTGGGTTTATTTACCAGCAGCAGAGTACAGTGAATGCACAGTCCACCAAAATTTGCTCTAACCTCAGTCCTGGAGCAGAAAAGGAATCTCTTTCAGCAGGCTGGATATGTTTGACAAATATTATGGATGGAATAAAGTACCAGTACTTCAAAATATACAATATTTATACACAAGTACCAAATATGAATACTGTCATTTAAATATGCTGGCTCTGAAAGTAATGATGTATGAAGTAGGGCTGCCACGATTAGTCGACTAGTCACGATTACGTCGACTATCAAAATTATCGACACGTCGTTTGAAGCTTTGTAAGATCCCAAAAGATGCAGGAATAAGTAGTAGGATTTCCGAGTGTAATAACGGACTGAAACAGAAGATGGCAGCACTGCATGTACAAGGATGCCAGCTGCCGTTAAACTACGAAGAAGAAGAAGCTGTGTCCGGTATCGTAGCTGTGTCCAAATTCAGGGGCCGCATCGTCCTGTGGCCGCATTTGTAGGCCGATTACGTTACAGCGACACCATGAAGACTGTCCAAATTCAAAGACTCCGACAAATGCGCCCTTCATTTCCCCAGATTTGAAGGATGGGTCGGGTGCATACTTCATGGCCCAACCTATCCCAGAATTCATAGCGCGGCCCAGCTCAGTTTCCTTTTTTTTTTTTTTTTTTTTAATTTATTTTGCGCCTGTCCCGTTTGGCTCTTTTGCCATCAGAATTGTTGTCTAAAGGCAAAGAAAGATGCCCAACGGATTTACTTTACCAAACTGACCATCCCAGCCTTGCCGTAATGGTCCATTTGATTCACCTTTTATTGTTCATTTTATTTTCACTTACTGAATACGGGACAGACTTGACTGGGGGAAAGAAGGGGAGAAAGAAAGAGGGAAAGAGAAACAGCTGAGAAGAGGGACGGGGGAGAAGGGCAAAAAACAAAAACCAACAGAATGGGCAGAAAAAAAAAATGCATATATCGATCACCTGGATCACCTGCTGAGAAAGAAAAAAGAAAGCAAGCAGAAGAGAACAAGAGTAATAGAATAAACAACATCACAATGATATATGGGAATATGACAGTAAATACTAAATATTAAACATTATTGTGCAGCACATAAGATCAACAGAACACAGTGTGCTTTGAGGTAGGAGCCAAAAAGGGTGTAGTTTGTGGGTGTGATCACCCGTGTGTACACCTGTGAGCATGGACGCGCTTGTTTTTTTAAAAGGTTCCTTCATGTAATGATCTGCTAGAGGGTGTGGGGGGCCACAGCCCCGTCCTCCAGGGCATGAAGCAGGTATGGAGGAGATCAAAACTCCAGACATCCAGAGGCCCCCAGAACACAAGAGACCAAGGAAGACCAACAGAGGGGCAGCTGCGCCACTGTCCCAGAAAGAGCTGAGGAGAGTCCCAGATGAGGGCTCACTCAGCAGCCACGGAGCAGAAGCCAGGGGGAGTTGCAGTGACGCGCCCGTGAGCTCCGCCGGCAGCCAGCCGTGCCTGAGTGACCGAGCCCCAGGCCGAGAGGCCGGGGGCACCCCACCTCCGAAGTGGCCCGAGTCTCCTCTGCACCCTGGTGACATACCCCTACTCCAAGGTCCTGCATGTGTGGGTGGTTGTGGTGGAGCGGGAAGAGGGAGGCAGCTGGAGATGGGGATGGAAGGAAGGGAGGGTCAAGTGACCAGCTCAGTTTCCAACAATGGCAGCAGCTAGCTAGTTTTAATGTTACTCTTATTATTCTTTCTGGGTCACAAAATAAACGTTTAACATATTTTCAGGCAAGAATTTATCTGTGTAAACTTCAAATATCTGCTCAGTTTATCAAGACACCAAATATTTTCAAAAGCGCGCCGACGTTTTCTGAGACGTCTGTTACCCACCAGCTCGATAGCTAGCCGGGGGCAAGGCTAACTAGAGCCGTGAGAACACCGGACTCCCGGCAAATCGTTTTCAAACCCACCGCCGTCTTTCGCTACTCAGGTTAAACATGATATATAAGTCACTTAGATAACTTAAAAATGTTATTGTTTGGCTTTTTTCAGTATTTTATTTGTTCCTGAGTAAATCGGTTTGGCTGAGATCAAAGTTATAGTTTTTACACAGCTGAATAAACATCAAGCAGACAGCTGATTATCATAAGTGTGAGATGCTCGAGAATATACTCCGGTGTCCTGTTATATTTTAGATAGCAAGGAGCAGACGGCTGAGTTTATTAAACTCCACCGAAACAATCTGCAGATTTCATTAAAATTTAATAAACTGTCATCTTGTCTTTATTTTTAGTTAGCACAGACCTTAAACATACCAGCTGTAAGCTAATGATAGTTATATAAGAGCAGATGCTGCTGGTGCAATAAGCTGTACGTTTTACGTCCAATGGATGCATGATCTGATTAGTCGACTAATCGCAAAAATAATCTGTGACTAGTCGACTATCAAAATAATCGTTTGTGGCAGCCCTAGTTATGAAGTGTCCAGTGACATTGGGATTTATGGGTTGGCTGTAGCTCAGGACGTAGAACAGGTCATCTCCTAATCAGTAGGTTGGTGCTTCTGTGTGTGGCTACTCCAGCCTACAATCCAAATATCCCTGGGAATTAGACAAGTTGCTCTCTGATGCATCCATCAGACTGTTAATGTGTATGTTAGACAGAAAGCACATCATACAAGTGGTAAACTGAATGGGTTTATGACACAAGGACCCAATGCACATAACGTTATGGGATGCCTGAATGTTTATGTATAATAGTTTTTGTCCTTTTGACAAGTTCAATTCAGTTTTATTTATATTGTGCCAAATCACAACAACAGTCACCTCAAGGCACTTTGTATTGTAGGGGGAAAGACTCTACAATAATACAGAAAGTCAGAGAAAACCCCAACAATCATATGAGCAAGCGCTTTGGAGGCAGTGGGAAGGAAAAACTCCCTTTTAACAGGAAGAAACCTCCAGCAGAACCAGGCTCAGGGAGGGGCGGCCATCTAACACGACCAATTTGGGGTGAGAGAAGGACGACGGGATAAAGACGCTGTGGATGAAGCTCTGGGCAGCTTTTCACCTGCCACACACAAGCTCACACCACACAGCTCCATCAAGTTCTCCACCTCTGCTTTGGGCCCCGGAAGCTACTCAAATAGGGAACCCATGATTAGACTTAATTTTCACTTAAGTGATTTTATTTTAAAATAAGTCGTATCAGTCTGGCTATAGCCTAGCCAAGGTGTTAACTTACTCACGTGGTGAGTATGGATTCACTGCCATCTGCAGTCACTGTGTGGCAAAGGTTTGTTAAAAATAAAATATCCATAGATGGTTTCAAAACTGTAAGAAATAAGATATTTGTTTACCTCTGGTGTGTTTTATGCGTATGTTCCTGAAAGCACTCGTCTCTCCTTCATTCTTTATCCTATTTTAAATTCGGACTAGTATAGCAGCAATTATTCTTCACACAGTATTACGCTAATTAAAAGCTAATCAAAGTTTAGCACTAATTATGCATGGTTCAGAGTCATTATCACTGTCAAACTGCATAACTTGATAATGACTGTTTTCTCAGTGAATTGTAAAAACAAAGAAAAAGTAAGTGTGAACATCTATCTTTTCACCCGTCTGTCCATCCTTCCATTATCAGTATGTCACTCAGTTCATTTATCCACCCTACAGTCATTTGCACTATTGTAGTGTTTACTATCGTCTATCCCAATGCACTTGACTTGTAAAAACCCTATATAAGATGTTATCTGAATGAATACAACTTTTCTGGGGGTTAAGTAGGAAAAAAGACTGTAAAGTTCAGAATGATTTACATTTTTAGTACATTTTGATTTACATTTTGAGAGCAGACTCTGACACAATAACTTTAACAGCAAATGTTAAATAATATTGCTTGTTTTTTCTATAACTGCAGCTACTAATAATGATGCATTGTCACTTCTGCAGCATGGACACTGAAACAGGATTGGCCAATAGATTCTACAGTCTATGTGGATGACATGACCTGGGATGATGGTAATGACACATTATGTACACTAAACATTCCCCCGGAAACCATATTTAGAGTGGCAGGTGCAAGTAAAGCTCTTTGAGTGCTCATGTAGCGTAGAAATGCTCTATACAAAAATCTGTCCATTTAAAGTAAATTGTGTGTTTACCTTTATGAACCACCATAGTGCAAAAATACTATCTTATGCCTGTGAAACTGTGTCATCTTTGGCCTTTTTTAACTAGATTCTACTAAAGAAACTGGAAAGAAAATAATGTTTTGTTTTCTTTTTTTACAAGCTGCTGGTAACAAAGTGCCTAAAGCTGCAATTTAAAATTAAGTTTTTGCTAAATTGTTTGTTGTCTGTATCGACACAAGGCGTTCTCATCACTTGAGTTGGGTGGGGTTTTTTTTTTTGACTTATTCATAGATTAGTGGTAAATGACAACTGTTACACCCCACTTAAAAACAAAGTATTATCTGGGGTGGGGGTAATTATTAACTGCCACAAAGTCGACGTCGTTAAAACACTGTTTATTTCACAATTCCAAACGAACCAATTAGGCCCAAATAAAACACAGGGAAGCTCTGTGTCAGGTAGGGGTGCAACGATACACAAAATTCACAGTTTGGTTTGGTTCAATACTTTGGTGTCACGGTTTGATATTTTTTCGATACAAAAAAATGTTCATGCCTTTTTAATTTGTCATTTATTAAAATTATAAATATATATTTTAACTCAAAAGTACAGTTTTTAAATGTAATGTTGCTGAAAAAACAAAGTAATAAAAAAATATCTGATCGAGAAATCACTCATCTTTGGAAAAGAGAGAAATGTCTCTTTCCAAAATAAAAGCTATACTATCCGCTTCTTCTGGGCTATATTCTCAGCAGCATATTAAACATATCAGGTCCCCATAAGGAGAATCATGTGCTAACGGCTGTCTAAATGACTCGGATAAAGTTCGTAGCATGCGTGCTTGTTGTTTTTGTCTTTGCACTAGGATGATGTCGGAGTAAATGTGCAGTCATATTCGTTGTGTTCCCACTAGTGCTGTCAGCGTTAATCTTGTTCAAATGACGTTAACGCCATAACGTGGTAAATCTCCGTTAACGAGTTACCGCGGATCGCCCCGTGCGTGGGGCTGGACGGTGTCAACACGTTAACGAGCTAACTGCGCTAACGCACTAGTTCCCACCAATGTAATTGAGCATTGCGTGGCACATCCGACATACTTTTGTACTTTAGTCCATGACTCGCTTACCTTCAGGGTCATACGTCACATGAAGACCAAAATAGTTCCAAACGCCAGATCTGAATGAGGGTGGGGGAGGTTCAATTTGCCATGTTGCAATGAGCTTAGCTTCTGTCTTGCTAGCTTGCGCTGCGCTCAGTGGATCTGCACTCGACAGTGCAGCCTAGGCAAAGTAGTCAAATGCAGATCCACTGAGCGCTCAACACAGACAGCATCGTCAGAAGAAAAGTTGATAAAATAAATTAAAAATTTTGTATTGTTCGATACATATGCGTACCGAACCGAAAGCACTGTATCGAACGGTTCAATATCGATACGAGTATTGTTGCACCCCTAGTGTCAGGGTCTCCAAGGCCAAAACGACAAACAGAACAGCCCAGTCTAGCTAAAAAACAAAGTAAGACCACTCTATCTATAAGAAAACAAAATACAATGACTGTGCTCCACGTCTTGCCACAAAACATGAGAAAAATGGTTGAAACAAAATGGCAGAAAACAACTACATGCTTTCACTGTGGTTCACAATTGTCTCTGTAAAGGGACACCTTTACTCACAAATATTAAAAACCAATGTTACACCAAGTTTCATAAATTGACACCGCTACAACCTGCTGCCCAAACCACTGCAGCTCACAGCCCAGAGAAAAGGGAAGGAAAGAAGGCACGGCATTTTGAGATACGGTGGCTGATGAGCTGCAAAACATCTCAGCTGCTGATTATGAGGCAGACCTGGAGCATAGGAGGAGCAAAAGCTCTCTCACATGGGGAGAGCCCCTAGAGGTCAGCGACTGTAACAACAACAAAGTTCCCTGAAAATAATTAGCTACAATAAGTGGACTAAAAATGTCCAAATGAAAACTTTGAATGACCTACAGAAAGGACTCTTACTTAATACCACTTTAAAAAATTACAAGAACTCAGGCTCAGCACTATTTTTGTTTTCTCAATTTTTATTTACCATTTCATGCTCTGTCTGTATATTTTCACGAGTACTGTCCCAGATGTACTTGGTTACAGCTGGTAAATTTCTTCCATCTCTAATTTTGAAAGTGTGTTCTTTCAGATCAGGGTCTATATACACACTCCTGTCGCTGTGGAGGAGTATTCAGTGTCACTGAGGAGGAACTGGAGGAGGAGCCACAGAGGAAACAGCAAGATGAAGGTGAAAAGGAAACTGAGGAAGGACGGCACAAAGGAGCAATTGTCTGCTGTGATACCTGTTCTCTCAGTGTGTATGTGACGTGGTCAACTAATGAAAAAGCTCAAAAATGTCAGTAATATTAATACTTTTTTCTTATAATTTCCAACTCTGACTCTGAGCCTTTCTTATAATCATTAGTATTGACATTTTCCTTTCAAGTGTGCACCAGTCAATTATATGATCAATACTGGCTTAAAGCTGAGACTCTCAGCTCTTAAATGTATTGCATTATCCACAAACCTTTATTTTGGAATCCCCTGTTTTTGGTATCTCAAATGTAATTGGAGAAATCGACACTAAACAATATTATACAATACTACAATATTATAGCAAGGACCACAACAATCCGAGCAGGCAGATCTTGAAGAAAGAACTCCCTTTTAATAGGAAGAGACCTCTGACAAGAGCAGGTTCAGGGTGAGTGATGGAAAGAGACGAGATAATAAAACTCACTGGTTCTTACCTTGTGGAGAAAATATTTTCTCTTAAAGTTTTCTCTTCAGGGTAGACTTTGATAAAACTATGCCTACTCCAACAGCAGGGGTGTCAAACATGCGGCCCGGGATCCAGAATCAACCCAGCAAAGACTTCAATCTGGAGCACTGGATAGCTTTGGAAAATGTGAAAGGGGGCATGGATTTTGAATTTTAACTGTATTTCCATACAGTTGAAAATCTATGGAAAATGTAATTCCATTGTGTTCTTGATAGCCAGCTTTTCCTGGTTATTATGACCTCTCTCACAGCCATTCATGCTACCACAAATTAGTTATGAAACAGATAAACAATTAAAGAAAAAACCCTGGTTTTTGTTTTGTTTGTTTGTTGTGGTGATGTATATATGTATTGCCTTAAACAGTATTTGGATTCCAAAAATGCAAGATGGAAAGATCATCTGAAATATTGTGCAGTATACAGTTGTATTTTACTTAATTGTGCTGTTTCACTGCAACGTTTTCACCCTTCAGCTGTAAAAACCTGATTGTCATCCATCCCTGGTGGCGAGGTGGGCGGTATGGCCAACCAAATTTGTGAATACAGTAACCCGAGAACAAGATTATGTAGGATTTTTTTTTAAAAATTGGTACCATTAGGTGCATACTAAAAATCTTGGATGAGTTTGAAACTTGCGAACTCGAACTCAAGGACAGAGGTTTTCTAACGATTGTGTGAATGCTATAACTCAAGAAGGAAATCACCATAGGTCACAGATGTCAAACTCCAGGCCTCGAGGGCCGGTGTTCTGCAGGTTTTAGATGTGATCCAACACAGCTGATTGAAATGGCTAAATTACCTCCTCAACATGTCTTGAAGTTCTCCAGAGGCCGAACTAGTCATTTGATTCAAGTGTACTGACCTGGGGTGATATCTAAAACCTGCAGGACACCGGCCCTCGCGGCCTGGAGTTTGACACCCCTGGCATGATGGTGCTGAGCATAACCAATTCTTTTCAAGTGCATCAGACAGCACAGAAACTAACAGACCTTTTTTGTGGTCCCATCACAAGATGTTGCTATGGTGCCACTGGTAAACAACATCTTAAATAGACTATTTAAGCAGTATATTTTAGATCAGAAGAATTACGTGCTGCACACAGTCAACAGCAACATGCCTCCTGCTTGAATTTCAGTTTAGAGCTCACCATGTTTTTCAAAACTATATCTTTTGCCACAGTGTAACTTGGTTAAGGATTCGACTGTATTCACAAGAAAGCATACAGTTGAAAAACGTAGTGTATGGCCAATGATCTTGTCCCATGTTTGTTTACGTTTGGCTCCGCCCATTAGAGTGTTATACTTCACTGAATCCCTGCTGCTGTCAACACCCAACCACTGCAATATGCATGTGTCCGTTCTGCTGCCGTTAGTAAACTATTTTTGAATCCTATACAAAATGTATATACATATACTTACTTACACATATCTAATAATTTTGCACTCTCCCTGCATGGTGGTCTTTATCCTTTAAGCGCAGGCCTTCTACCAGAGGCCTCGGAGCTTGACGGTCCTGTGCACTATCTTTGCTGTTCCTAGGATTGTGGTCTTCTGTACAGTGATTTCACATGTTTTTCCTGAGATCTGCTCGAGTCATTCAGCAGCATCTTTTCACAGCCTGTACTGGGATTTTTCCTGGTGTGTCTCTATGGATCTTGTGCTTAAAACGTTTGCCTGTGCTGCCATGATAAGTCCCTCTGTGCTATCTTTCAGTCCAGCTCTGTCCAGCCACTGGTAGGATTTCTTGGTATCCGCCACTTCTATCTGCCAGCGGGGCATGCCATGCATGAGCCTGTTCATCCATGATGGTTCTTTTTCTTGCTTCTCTTCTTTCTGTGATTTCTGCTGCCTGAGCTGTTCACTATCAGTTGTGGCCATTTTCCCGTTTCTTGATGTACTTGGGGATCTTTGTTGTTTCATCCTGGACAGTGGTTCTTACACTCACTACTCCCCTGCCTCCTTCCTTCCTCTTAGCGTACAGTCTCAGGGTGTTGGATTTGGGGTGAAACCCTCCATGCATGGTAAGGTAAGCTTCCTTGTCTAGATGTCAGTGGTTTGTACCTCCTCCGTTGGGCAGTTGATTATCCCAGCAGGGTGTCTGACGACTGGCAGGGCGTAGGTGTTGATTGCCTGGATCTTGTTCTTCCCATTCAGCACTTGCCTCACTCTCTGCAGCTATTTGGTGGTAGCGGCTTTCCTAGCGGCCTCTTCATGGTTCCCATTTGGCTGTGGGATTCCCATGTAGCTGTCAGTTTCTGCAGTATTGCCTTCTGGAGTACAATCCCACAAGTTCTGACTACCTTCCTTCTCTTTGTTGTGATCCAACTACACTTCTTCAGTCCAAATGGCACTCCGATGTCATATATATACGTTTATGATTTAATAAAATAAGTAAATACGTACACACTCAAACAACCTTGAGTATTGTCAAAACACTGATAATATGGTTATAAAAACTATAAAAGAAAACACAGACACATGTGCACACACACACAAGCATGCTGTGACTCAGAAAAAAATTATCCTGTGACTACATAGAGGTCCTAACCCTCCAGTTGAACCCAGTACCCTAAATGACAGAGCTATTCTCCCCTCAGCAGGGCTGCGACAGACACACAAAGGGATAACGACTGGTAATGACTCTCATATCTTTGGTCACTCAGCCTGCAAAGGTCACATCTAACAGGAGATCTGAGTGATGATCATCTTTCATCCATCCGTCCATCTTTGCATTTTTCAAAAATAGGAGTTCAAAATGAGGGGTGAGGGGCAAATAGTTGAGATTTGACAGAAAAGAAGATGAGAAGGAGTGACACATATTGTCTAAATTTTTCACTAATTATTTTCCTCTCTAGCAGTAACAGTCAAGAGTGCAGGGGAGATTATGTGGGTGGGGGAAGTGGTGTGTATATGTCTGTGTGTGTTGAGGGAGTGGGCAGGAGGAGGAGTTGACAGCTGATGTGTAATTGAGGGTTGGTAGAATATTGATGTGACAGACACAGAGACATGCTGAGATGTGCTGGGACACAAAATCCATTTCACCTGCTCACCACCTACAATTAGGCTCCTTTAGATCACTTTCTAACCATTTTCTGGACAAAAACTCATTACACCCCACCCTGTTAGGACCCCCTTTTCTCATCACACTGTAAAATCTTAAAATCCATTTAATTAAACCAAATGTAATTCAACTTATCTTTTTTAACATGTATGGAAAAAATAAATAAGGTTAGAATAAAGTTGGACTGTTTTTGGACTGTAGTTCAGAGTGAAATTATATAGACTAGATTTTGGATCTGTTTCATTATTAATTTTACTCCAATCATGTCAGTAATATTTTACAGAAAACTGACCTTAGATCAGTTTATTGATTGAGTCACAACCGATGCAGGGAAGCTAAAAGCGTCAACATGCCTCACTGAAAGTAAAATCGCTGCTACAGTGATATGAGTCTTCTGGATCATGTAAACTGAAAACACACGCAAGCCAATCAACCTGTCAAGAGAGCATGATGATTTCTAATGAAAGACCTTTTTGATGGAAGGAATGATTCACGAACAACGTGGAGCATAATAAGAATAGAACCAAGCAATAATATGATATTTTAAAAAATGTAATTTCGATTGAGTAACGTCTTTGTAAATAATTTCTGTCTTAAAATTCATTACAATCTAATTGAAAGGTTAATACATTTAAATATCAGAATGATTTAAATACAAATATTAGCAATGCTGTTCCTTTGAGAATGTGCCAATCTTGAATCCTCCTTTTGTTTATTTATTTATTTTGGGAAAAAATGGCTTAGCGGCACTGTATATGACCCTACTACTACCAAAGAAGACTATGTATACTGTATATATAGAATCCAGTGTATTTAAGTATCTTATTTTTGGAAAGTTGAAGTCATTCACATCCATGAGTTTTGGAACCATGACACGTCCACATTGCACCCATCTTTTGATGGATGTTTTCAGCAGAATAATACATGATGATGCATGATCATTAGTTCACTGTACTGAAGTGGCATCAGTCACCAGATCTGGATCCAGCTTTGGGCTGTGTTCGAACAGAAGATTTACGTCATGGATGTGCAGCCAGTTAGTGATGTTAATATGAACCAAAATCTCCGGGTTAGGAATGTTACCAGGACTTTGTTGAATCTATAGTAGAAAGAATTAAGTCTGAAGAAAAGCAAACGAAGGTCCAAATTGCTGCTTGTGCGACATACCTAATTAATTGGCTGGTATTGTATTTTGCCTACTTTAAAAAAACAAACAAAAAACAAACAAACAAAGGGAACTTACAACAATATGACTATAACCATTTAGGAAGGGCTTGTGTGACAAAGCAAGTCACACAAGCAATAGCAAAACACAACCGACCCCTCTATGTTTTGGCATTTTTGGACTGGACATAGAGGGAAGGCTGCCTACTGAGAGGTACACAGAATAGAGGGCAGTGTTTCCTGGCTGAAGTTAAGCTGCTTCATTCCTGGTTTAGCGTGAGTAAGCTCTGATGGCTCACAAGGCCCCAAAAGGCCTCAGGCCACCACTCACTTCAGTGTGCGCTTTGCTTAGTCTGCCCTCTCTGCCTGCCCCCTGTGTCTCTACACTCACCCCCCAGAATGCTGCTGTCTTTTTATTATCAGTGAGATCTGTTGATATGTAGAATTTGAGCTCATTAAATGAAAATGTAATTATCAGTTGTACTTTATTAACAGATTACTTTCTTTTTTTAGATTAATCTCTCAAATTGTATGCTGTTTATGATATAATATAATATAAAACATGTAATATAAAGTTATTAATTTAACAGAAAATAACATTCTAAAAAGCACAGCTAAATGTGGTTGCTTTTTGTTCATTTTTTTCTTAATGCTTTAATGCTTTATGTGTTTTAATTGAATTCTTTCCACAGAAAGTGAATCAGGAAAATGTACAGGAAAAAAAAATCAGTCTTATTTGGCTAAAATCTCTGGTACATGATTTTGACTACATAAAATATATTATTTGACTGTTTTGGTTTCTACTTAGTTTTATCACTGATAACATGAAAATAATGGAAAAAAACAACTTTGTATTTCAATAAAAAATGATCCCAGTGTCAAATATTCTGTAATGATTGCAGCTTAAAAGCACATATAGATTTGATAAAAGATATATGATGATATATAAACAAAATCATATTGATTATCTAATTATAAGTTAATGTGCAATCTATACTCTTCCTTCAAGAATACCCCTAATCTCTTCCTATCTACATCATGGTACAACAGTTTGAATCTACCTCTAATGCTCCTGCCCTTAATTCCCTTACATCTGATATCTACACACACACACACGCACACACACATTATTTCTACTTTCTTTCTCTCCACCACCTGTTTGGGGCTTTTCTATGTGGGACGCTACGTTCAGATGAACAGAATAAAGTTTTGGGGGTGTTTTCTGTGTGGAGTTTGCGTGTTCTCCCGTGTATAGGTGAGTTCTCTATGGGTACTTCAGCTTCCTCCTACAGTCCAAAGACATGCAGTTAGTGGTGTTAGGTTACGTCTTTGGTACAGGAACGTCGCACGACACCTTCCACAGTCAGATGGTCTGTGGGCCACTCTTGCTCTTGTTGTTGGTCTGTCAGCCGTGGAGGAGAGCGACGTTCTAACACACAAGCTGAAAAGCATTTAATCATAACTAATGATTAAATGCAGAGTGATGTGTAAACATATGAGTGAAAAAAGATGACTGAAGAAGAAACCCATCAGCCTAGGC